ATTCATATGAAGGGAGAAATATACAGGTAAAAATGAAAGGCAGTTGAAAGGGTATATATGGAGGCTAATATAATGAATATTGACTACATAAAACAGTAAAACCCATGTATGGGGTTTAAGATGTTATTAGACATATGCTTCACAGTAATACTGACAAGATATTTTAATGTTCTAACAATAACAGGCAATGGCTCAAAGTAACTATATGAAACAGCAACAGACCAAGGAATAATGTTATAATATCTAAATAATCACTATTAGAACAACTTTTACTATAAGAATAGTAAAAGAATGTATAACTCTTAAGTTGATAGAAAAAAATGATGAATTCAAAATTTCAATCCAAAATTCAAAATAGATTATTAGAAGGAAATAAAAAGTTGAAACAGAGAGACAGTACAGAGACTGGGACACTTGCACTGCATGCTGCTGACCTGGGTTCTATCCCTGAGAACAGAACCAGGAATAAACTCTGATTATAGACAAGCGTGGCCCCAAACCAACAAACCAAGAAGAAAGATTACAGCTCTTGAAAGATAGTCAATTTAACAACAAGAAGCATTATTAGGGGAAATAGGGACATTTTATAATGACAAGTGATCAGTCAATAAGAATGCAGATGTGAATTGTGGTTATATCATTTGAATAATTTTTAAAGCCACTTTTATTTTCCTATAAAATTTTCTTATATTGATTCGCCTATTTCACATATTGTTATACATATGTTTCTAAGTCAAAAGTCAAAAAAATCATTTTCTATTATCACCTATCTACAGTCACGAAAATAAAAAGATTTTAGGGAAAGGAAAAAAAAAGTTCTAATGAGAACATGGTGGACAACTCACATAAATTAAAATGTTACAAATAATCCTATTTTCCTCTTAGTCCTATTTGTTTAAGTTTGAAGACAGGCAAAGAATTCCAAGTATATTTTCTGCAAAAAATGATGTATTTTAATGTGTGAGTGATTCAAAGGGATGGTGGCACTGATTCGCTAATCATTCAACTATAACTTGTAAGTATCTGTTGTGACAGGTACAGAATGCAATTAGTATTTGGAAGGTAATGAAAAATATATATTGATTGGCCTCTAGCCCTGGTCCAGATAGAGGGTTCTTGAAATACTTATAAATTTTGGGGGGATAAGAATACCAGAAGCGTCTTCTGTTTGGATCCTGATTCTTTCCACTAGACTTTAGACTCTGAAATCCCTTGGAATTGCCTGGTTTATGGGAAAAGAAGAGAGGGAGAAGAGGGGATAGACATGTAGTCTCTATATAAAGTTTCCAGAAAATTCTATCAATACAGCCAGAGAGATAGTACAGCAGGGAAGGCATGTCTTATATTCAGATGGCCTATTTTTTCTCTCTGACACTCCACAAGATCTCCTGAATACTATCAGGACAGATTTCTGAGCATAGAGGCAAGGGCGTAACCCAAGAGCATGGCAGGTGTGACCTATAAACAAACAAGAATCCTATCAAGAGGATGGGGTCCACACAAATTATCAAGTTTGTAAACACATACATGTCATTGAAGGTTCCTGCCCCTGAACTTCAGTAGAGAGAGACAGTTGAGCTCTTGGGAGGCTCCCAGATTTCACCCTGTATCTCTTCACCTCATTGTTCTGGGATCAACCTTTTATAATCTGGGAAATGTCCTTATTTCTCAGAGCTCTGTGATCTGTTCCTGCAAATTGTTAGAACCAAAGTGTGGAAATCATGAGCACTATATATTTGTGGTCAATTTGGACAGATACCTTCTGCTCATCAGTACTCTCCATTGCCATCCCCAGTGGGGGAAAAACTTGTGGGAATGAACATTTAACCTGTGAAATCCAGTATTGTCTCTGGATAAATAATATCACTGTCACTGTCACTGTCCTCCAGTTGTTCATTGATTTAATCGAGCGGGCCCAGTAACGTCTCCATTGTGACACTTGTTACTGTGTTTGGCATATCGAATATGTCACGGATAGCTTGCCAGGCTTTGCCATGTGGGTGAGATACTCTCGGTAGCTTGCTGGGCTCTTCCAGCAGGGCGGAGGAATTGAACTTGGGTCAGCCATGTCGGTTGCATGCAAGGTAAATGCCCTATCTGCTGTGTTATCGCTCCAGCCCAAATAATACCAAAGCGACTCAAACTGTAGGAATATCAATCACAGTAAATGGCTTATCTAGGGAAAAACCCTCAGATCTAAAATGGAAACTATTATGTGTATGGTAGCAAAATGAGAGTAACAAATCCAGGACACTATTGGTTTAATACAGAAAATCATTTATGATATAACTGAAATAATAATAGACCATATCTATTAGGGCTTCTCAAGAAGAGAGATTTTCCAAACCAAGTCACATTGAGTTGACTCAATTTTTCAAATCACGGGATCTTTTAGTAATAGATATAATTGAATACTATTCTGAATAGAAATATTTTTAAACAAAAATGAAAACAGCCCTTTCCAGTTAAATCTGAAAAACATACATTATCAATATAATTACATAAGAGTGAATAAGGTAAAGGGCAAAGGCACTCTAATAATAAAGGAATTGTAAATCCATTCACCCCCAAAGCAATATTATTCCAATTAGAGCTTCTAATGTCTGAGGAATTGTGATCACAACATTTTCTCCTTCAGTAATTCTCTTCCTATCCATTGCAACATTTCACCCTCTTAACCTCAGTGGATCTCTCAGGTTCTTAATTTCTTCAGGAAACCAAACAAACAAAATCAGTTTTCCTGTTATGTCTGAGAAATTTTCTATTTCTCCTTCTGATCCTAGTAGAATTTGATGATTGAACATTAATGATCCAGGGAATTGTACCTAGTAAAAATTACCTGTGGTAATTTTCCCCTTTCACTCTTCATGATTTTGCCCAATTAAATTCTTGTGACTTCTACCATGACCTCTATTCAGTAAAATCAGTCTTGAGGGTTTCCCAAATTTACAGCTCTACACCTACTTTCTCTTGATCTTGTGATAACCCTATGTTGGTTTATGTTAGGCACTTGAATTCATCATTCTTAACACTGGATGATCCTCAAAATATCAACTGCTTGCCTTTTACTATTTCGTATTTCAATAACTAGATTTGCTATTCATTCAACTCAAATTCTGCTGGAATTCTGTGGTGATATTTCTTCTTTCATCAATGTCATTCTATCCCCAGGACACCATATAGACTCCTAAAACTTCCTACTTGAATTCATAAATGCAATAATTTCCTGTTCTCCCACGAATACTTATGCTCCCAATATTCTTTTATAAATTTCTCTCCTCATTACCTTTTCCCTTTGTACCCCTTCTACTGTTTTCTTTCCCTTCCTTCCATCCTTCCTTCCTTCCTTCCTTCCTTCCTTCCTTCCTTCCTTCCTTCCTTCCTTCCTTCCTCCCTTCCTTCCTTCCCTTCCTCCTTCCGTCCCTCCCTCCCTGCCTTCCTTCCTCTCTCCCTCCCTTACTTCCTGCCTTCCTTCCTTTCATAGTTCCTACATTATCAGCACCTTCAAAGTTATGATATTCTTTATTTCCTTCTTCATACAGCAAATTTTACTAGGAAATGTATTTTAAACAAATTTTAAATATTTTCTCTCTTTCATTACAAAGATAGTCAACTAAACTATTCAAGTCTTTTTTTTTCAGTTTTTTTTTCAGTTCCTCATAATATAAGCTGCTTGTTGGTACCGCAACTAAAGATTAGAAGGCTACAGTTAGAAATCAGATATTTTAAGTCTAGTGATTTAGTTGATAAAAAATATTATATCTCTGCTAAGTCATTGTTAGTATTATCAAAATGTGTGGCTACTAATATATACAAATATTTGTTAGTTTATGTGTGATGTATTTCGCATCCATGACTTGTCTTGGGTAAGGACTTAAAAGAAGACTCAAGGGAAAAAAAACTATAGTTGGTTTATATAATTCTTTAGGAATATGTTAAACAATTAGAATAGTTTATTTTATACAATTTCTAAAATTACAGATATTTCTACTACTAGACTATTCAAAAGTGTTAAGCACTTATGTATAAACTACTGTAATTGCAAATAGTGTCCTCATTTCTTATGTATTTCTCCTTTCAAATACATTTTCATAAAACTACTAGCATTGAAAAAATTTGTTAAAACAAGAACTATATTAAGTTTGATCTTAAATGTCCCCATGCATGTAAACATATTTTATGTTAAAAAAATCAGGTTATTATTGCAAACCTGCTTCCTTAATCCACACCAATGAAAGATTTATACTTACTAAAATCCTTTTAGCTTTAATATTTTCTGATTCTATTACAATCTTTAAGATACATTTGAGGAAGATAGAATAAACTCCAAGAACTTTAATACGAAGCAATGAGATTTTCAAAGATTCTTCATACCACTCAAATAATCTATTTACCCTTCCACATTCTTAAGTTCTTTTAAAAATCCATTCACTCAAACATTGCATGGTTTTATCATTGACCCTCCTATTTCATTTCTTGAAAATGTCATGGAATACTGATAAATAATAAGCTCTTGCTTTTTCCTGAATTTCCTTCAACATCACCTTGAAAATTTAAAGTGCAACCTTCAAAAGTAAATGCAATCACACTCTATTTCTATTTCTTTAAAAGCATGAAATAGTTAATAAAAACTGTTAATTGTTTAAGAGAAAAATAAATGCATTTATTTAATCATTAAATGTGCCAAAATATAAGGGAATTCCCTTGTTCACTTAATAAAGGAAGGTATTGTTGAATTAGGGTTTAACGAAGACCTGATAGAGAATACTCTATTTAAACCCATATTTTTGACCCAAGTCATTGTGTTATTATTGACAAGAGAATGAGTTTCCTATGATCCATAGTTATTTTGATTCCTAACTATTTTTAGGTGTCATATAGTGAACACATATACTATTAGGTATAAATTTAAAATTACAAAATTATTTGGTTATCATAAAGTTCCCATCACACTACTGAATTCTATAGAGTTAAGAATAATAAAATAATATAGTATCTACTTGCTAGTTATTCCTGTCTCTGCAGACTTCTAGGTTGTGACCACTTTGACTTGCATTTTTTTCATGTAGCGGGCTCCTTAAAAAAAAAAAAAGAAAATTTGAAAATTTTAATTTACTGTATTTATAAATTGGCAATGGCATGTGAATTTACATAATAAGCAAGAATGGAAGGTGAAAAGCTTAAGGATGTTTTACTAACTGTTAGGTTATACATATTTTTAGAATAATTTTACAAACACTAACACTTGAAAAATTTAAATTTTGAGTGTCAAATGCAAGAATCTTCATTGTCAAATGTAAGGATCACATGGTTGCCCAATATTCTTTTTTAAAGCACCATGTAAGAGTTGCAAGGGCAATATTTGTACAGCAATTTCCCTTTGTCTCTTTTTTTTGTTTGTTACTAAATAATAAATGTGAAATGTTTCCCTTGGTCTTTAAGACTTATTAAAACAATTTTCCTTTATTTTTTGTTTTTGGGCCACACCTGGCTTTCCTTAGGGATTACTTTTGGCTCTGCACCCAGGAATTACTCTTAGAGGTTTTGGGGTCCATACAAGATGCTGGGGAACAAACACAGGTTAACCTCTGTGGAAGGAAAACACCCTGCCTATTTTACTAAACACTCTGAACTCTAAAACAATTTTTAAAAAATATTTTCATAATTTAGTTCTTATAGTCTAGAGTTAGTTTTTGCTTTATTTTTTTTAAATCAGTGTAATTTTATATTCTTACTATTACACCTTAAGCCCTAACTGGTGACTCTAGTAATCATTAATAAAAGGCAAAATACTTTGATGTCTGTACTTACTGTATGTATGCACATTCAAATTTAATGTGTTCTATTATTATTATTATTATAATTATAATTTAGCCCACATATTCATTCACTTTTAGTAAATAAATTTATTTTTTAAAACTGGCTTCCATGAGCTCAATGAAGATATATATATCTCTTATTTATATATATATATACATATATATCTATCTACTTTGTTTAGTCACATGGTCACACGGTTCTCCCGTTGTTCATCGATTTGCTCGAGCGGGCCCAGTAACATCTCCATCATGAGACTTGTTGTTACTGTGTTTGGCATATTGAATACATCACGGGTAGCTTGCCAGGCTCTGCCATGCGGGCGAGATACTCTCGGTAGCTTGCTGGGCTCTCCCCGAGAGGGGCGAAAGAATCGAACCCGGCTCGGCCGGGCTGGCTGCTCGCAAGGCAAACGGCCTACCTCTGTGCTATAGCTTCAGCCCGCTGCTTTGTTTAAACACTTTGTTTAGTAGTTTGCATTTTTTAGAGTTATATGAAAAAGAAGCAAAATGATCTTGACATTGTTTGTTTTCAATAACAGAGTATAACTTTCTATTGATAAAAGCCAAGAATCTCTATGCAATTATTAAATGTGTGAATCAGGATCGTAGGGAACTAGATACAGAGAAGTATCTAGTTTATGCAGTGTCGGGCACAGCCTGATTGCTTCATAATCATAAAGTAATGTAATATTAGTATTATCTGCTACAGAAAATATTTGTATTATCTGCAATATTAGTATTTTCTTTCTTTGGGGGAAAACTACACTTGGTGATGCCTGGAGGTGCTACACCCAGCAGTGCTCAGGGCATATTCCTGACTGTGCACTCAGGAGTCACCCCTGGCAGTATTGAAGGACCATATGTGGTGCCAGGAATCAAACCCAGGTTGGCCACTTACAAGGCAAGAACCCTGCCTCCTGCATTATCTCTCTAAGTCCCCAATATTATTTTCTAAAAGGTTCTAAAAATCTTTTAAAGAGAGGCCAAGAAGAATCTTAGAGTCAAGGACATATGCTCTGCTAGCCCTGGGCTTCAAGGTTCCTTCCTGCCCCCTGGCAGGTGTGGCCTTCGGGGTCCCTAAGACTAGCAGGGTGACCCCGGTGGACCCCAACACTATTGGCCTAGAGTAGCTCTGCCTCCTCAGGTCCTAGCATTGACTCACACCACCCATTATTATTGGGGGGGGCTCTGGACCCTTTGAGCACTGCTTGGGAAGACATAGCACCCCTAGGCACAGCACCCTCCCATCCCAATATTTTTTGATATTAAAAACCTCTTTGAAGTTAAGACTCTAAAGGGTAGATTGGAAAATAACAACTGTAAGTGAAACTACAGAAATAGCAGCTAAAATGCAGGAGTTTATGTTTATTTAATGGATGCAATTCTTACATAAGATACACGATATATTAATAAAGCTAAGCAAACTATATAGGCTAATGTAATTTTCTGGTCACAAATGCATTATTGGAAAATAGAACTTTATTTTTGTACTTATAATTATTCTTAATTCATTTATCTTTTAACTTTTATGATAAAATTCAAAGCAGTTCATATACCAAAATTACAATGCCGCAGTAGGAAATACTTATGATCCACAATATATTGTCTTGAAAAAGTGTAAAAAAAACTCAAAGATACAGTCTGATTAAACACCATTCAATGTAGTCTATCCTATAGATTAAAAAACTAAAATAATATATTTTAATTACTGCAAAAGAGCTATAATAAAGTCTCTCAGTTTGAAAAATATAAAGTAAATCTTTATAGACAAGCTTATAAAATTTCTATTATTTTTTAATGTACAAATAAAATTTTATGCAGAAAATATTCTAGTAATCAAAATGATGGATTTTAATTATTGCATGTTTGTCTTAGTATTCTTGTTGCTAATTTTGTTGAAAATAAAAATTTTTGCTTCACTTTCAGGTAGATTTACTGTTCTGTACAATGAAAGGGATATTTCTGAATTTAGAACTATTGATTACTGTCAATATCATTAAATTAATCTATTAGTATTATACAATGATATTCTCTACTGGGGCCCGGAGTGATAGCACAGCAAGTAGGGTGTTTGCTTTGCACATGTCCGACCCGGGTTCAATTCCTCCACTCCTTTCAGAGAGCCCGGCAAGCTACCAATAGTATTCTGTCTGGACGGCAAAACCAGACAAGCTACCCGTGTTGTATTGAATATGCCAAAAACAGTAACAACAAGTCTCATAATGGAGATGTTACTGGTGCCCACTTGAGCAAATAGATGAACAATGTGAGAACAGTGCTAAGGTGCACTATCATATTGTGATTCAGTAAGTTACTTTCTGACTATATTATAGTACCACGCACAGATAATTTTAGCAAGAGCACACTGCCTTTGGTTCTGTGTATACCCCTAGCATAGGGTTGTGCTACTTCTAGTGGGATGTACACAATCCTTCAGAAAAAGAGGCAATGTAAGGAAGACACATGCATGTTTAAACACCCTCTTACTTTTCGTTTTCTAAAGATCTAATAATAGCATAGTGGTAGGGTGTTTGCCTTGCAAGAGGCCAGCCCGGCCGAGCTGGGTTCGATTCCTCTGCCCCTCCCTGAGAGACTGGCAAACTACCGAGAGTATCTTGCCCACATGCAAAGCCTGGCAAACTACCCATGACGTATTCGATATGCCAAACACAGTAACAACAAGTCTCAGAATGGAAATGTTACTGGGCCCACCTGAGCAAATCGATGAACAACGGGAGGACAGTGCTACAGTGCTAAAGATCTAATACAAGGTCACAGGAACATCACTTTCTTAAGAAAATGATGTTGAAAGTCAAGGGGATGAGAGAAAGAATCTTTTGGTCATAACAGAGGACAACACATCGACCTTAATGGTTTGCTTTTTAAAAATAACAAAATAAGATGCTTAAGAATATAAACATTTTCAAATATCTTTGGTTTATACTACTACGGTATACTTAGCTAAATGTCTGCACCACCAGGCTAAAGTTTATTGGTGTAAAATTGTTCAACATTTTTGAAAAAACAAAATTAAAACTTCTCAAAAACAAAGCAAACTGGCTAAACATTGAATTTTCATATTACCCAGTCATTCCACTTCTCAGCATCTACCCCAAAGATCTAAATATACTATTTCAAAATGAATTTTATAACTATTTCAAAATGAATTTTATATTCCTATGTTCATTGTAGAACTACTCATAATAGTAGAGATCTGGAATCAACCCATATGTTCAAGAACAGAAGACTGGATAAAGAAACTGATAAATATATATGTATATATTATATTTATGTATACATATATAAAGAAGCTATTATGTATAAGATATATTATGGGGTATACATATATATGGAATATATATTATAATGTATATTTTATGTATACATTATAATATATTTGGGGTATATATGGGAATACTACATTGGAAATATATGACAATGTATATATATCTCGGATATATATATGTAATATAGAAATATTACTAGGCTATAAGAAAAAATGAAATAATTCAATTTGTCAGCACATAGCTGGCACTTGAGGGTATCATGCTAGGTGTAATTATCCAGGAGTCAAGGAACATATATAAAACAATCTCCCGCATATGTGGGATGTAAAGAAACAAAGTATAGAATTAACAAATGGCCAAAGATGACAATATCTGAGAACTGGTTTACAGAATTGAGCTTACCAAAGTTGGGAGGGGGGGTCAAGAGATGGTTGGGAGAAAACCCTGAGACAATGGTGAAGGGAAATAGACACTCAGGAAAAGCATCGAGTTGGAACCTCATATGCAGGAAACCCTACTATTAACAGTATAGTAAAGTATGGTGCTTCAAAATAAAGAAATGAAAGGCTTAGGGAGAAGATCTTAGCAATGGAAGCATTAGTGAAAGCCTTTCAAAAGATACCTTTGTGATATTCTCATTTTGTTGTACTAATGGTATCTACGTTTTGGTTCACTGTATCACTGTCATCCATTATTCATTGATTTGCTTGAGCAGGCACCAGTAATGTCTGCATTCGTCCTAGCCCTGAGATTTTAGCAGGCTCTCCTTACGCATCCTTCCCAACGGTGCCACATTGGAGACTCTCTCAGGGTCAGGGGAATGAGACACATCATTGTTACTGGTTTTGGCATATCGAATATGCCACAGGAGATTGCCAGGCTCTGTCGTGGAGGCAGGATACTCTCAGTAGCTGGCCGGGTTCTCCAAGAAGGAGAACTAGAGTATAAGAGGTCGCATGGCTGCATATGT